AATAACTGTCCAGCATCCTCTGCCCAACCAATCAGAATGTAGGAAAATCTACAGATATGACGGAATCTACTGTGAATCTACCTACCAGAAGTATGTTGAAATCTGTGTGAGTCTTACCTCTGGCTCGTGCATTAGTGCTCGTGCTCTCCCTCTATCAGAAATTAAACATGTATTGAAACCTTATACTTCTATTTAAATGAAAAACCACTAAAACAGGGACAGAACATTGTTGTTTAATTCTTTGGAATTGTGCTCTAAAAGTTAAAAAGCAGATTAAAAAATCCTATGACTTTATTAAATCTCTTCTGTATATTACAATAAACAAGCACTTATACAGTACAAAATCTAGGCAAAGTATATTGCACAGGTGTTTCACATCTTAGGGATTTGAAAGGTGTGTTATGTATAAATTAGCTGTCACTTTTTTCAGTCGTGTAATGGAATGATGAGTTGTAATTTGCATAATCCTTTAAGAAGTCAAATTATACTGTCATGTAGCAGATTTAACATGCTAGCTAGGATTTCATAGCTTTGCAGCTAATTAGTATGTACCTTACAGGACTGTTAAATTGGAGTTGTCCTCTTGCTTTGTCGATTGCCTTTGTCCATTGCTTAATGGTACCTGCATTTGTGACTAACTACCAAATGTTACTAGTCCTTCTGATGAAAGTACTGTAGGTGTCTATTAATATGGGCAAACAAATGTAACATGATTTGACTTTTATTACTTTTACAGTCCACAGAGTTTCTTTTTGAATATAGTAAGATTTATAATCTTTCATGATTAGATTCAATAATCCATTTCCAGTAAGAATTGAGAGAGATGACATTTTATAACTATATTATAGATGATTTTGTGTTAATATTTTGCATTACCACTTTTCTGATTATTTTTATCAAATTTCCTTAATGTTTAATTTTTATATTCTAACTATATTCCTGTTTTGTGGCATATTAAATCAGTTATCTACAAGGAGATAAAGAAAATACTACAATTGGCGCAATAGAAATTAATTTCTAGAAAAATAGTGTTTACATTGTAGCTAGAGGTTTCTTTGGCAAAAAAGCAATATTTGTTGTGTTTCTTCAGTTCATATTTCTCTCCAATTATTCTATAGCTTGTTGTCAATTTGATGAATTAATTTAGTAACTGGAGAAACCACCACAGTAGTGAAAGTTGTAGCTATAGAGTGGATGAAGAATAGAATTAAGGTTTGTAAGAGAAGAATGTAAAGAAGAATTAAAGTTTGCGATATTAGAACATAAAGAGAAATCAAGATTGAGCCAAAGATTTCCAAAGTGTTAATTCACTTGTTGAGCCACGATGGTAGTCTGACTTACTGTTGAGTCATCTGGTCATCTTCCATTTTTCTGTTTTTAGAGTTAAATTATTTCCTTTTTATTCATGGTTTACGTTGATTTATTGATCATTCTGTAGATAGTTTTTTAATCTGTGATAATGTTATAAGCCATCCATCCAGATATGACACTATATACGAGGGGTAATCAATTATTTTTTGTCAAGGTCCATTATTATTATTATAATAAAAATCAATAATGATAATAACTAAATAAAAAGATGTTGGGGTTCATTTAAAAGCGTCTGACGGTCTGGATTTGGCCCGTGGTCTGCCTGTTGACTACTCCTGCTGTGTAGTGTAGTCTGTCTCTTGGAAGAATTTGAAGGAGCATAAGCATTCTGTTTGGAAAGGTGACTTTAGATGGATGTACTGTACTTATCTTTGAGCAGTAGTTTTATTTGTTATACACCAGTTCAGTAACTAACTATAAATGCTTAATGATTTCTTTAAGCATAATATTAGATTTGCCATCAGCGGTTCATGTCAGTTTGTAAAACTGACTTCATGACTCTGGAAACTGTGGCTGTGGAGATACAACTCTTGGCACAAGGTAGTGGATAGTAGTTTGGCCAGCTTTGGTGGGGGTTGCAAGCACAATGATGGCTTCGTTCATTGGCTTACGAATACTCTGATAGGCGTAGTTTTTAATAATAGATATCATTTGCAGTCAGCGAAGTTGCAGTAGATAGCAACATGACAGCAAGAAAAGTGTCTTGGTCTGTATTAATTACAGGCAAATTTTAGCAAAATAGTCTCAAAATTTTAAGTTCGATGCAACAGTCAATATTATAATTAGTCTTGAAAGGATTAGATTTTTATCAGTTAATGTCAATAGCATTGATGCAGCCATTTACACACAAACTATCAAAAAATATTTCCCTTGATAATAGAAATTTACAGATTAGGAAGGTAAGAAAACTGCTGTTTGAGAAATTATTAGAGTATGATTTAAGGATATTTGTATTTTGACATGCATTGTTGATAATTTGTGTGTTAAGTGTTATAAATCTTTAATTTTTAAATCTCAATGACTGCTATTATTAAATAATTATTGTTTGACCCCGGAATAATTTCCCACAACTGTGAAAATTTAAATAGATAAAAATAGAAATAATGTTTAAAACCCATAATTTTGTGCAATTGTGAAAATTTAGATCAATAAAATCCCCAAAATGTTTAAAAATAAAATTGATGTTATCCATCAAAATTATCAAAAATATAATTTGAATTCTGCTAAGCCTAATTATAATTATTTAATTTAATATAGCTGATGTTGCTTATCTGAATTGTTATAAACACTATCGTGCTATTAATGTCACATAATAAGCATAGGTTTCTGGGGAAGCATGTAATATATTTCTCTCTATAGAAGTTATTTAGCAGGTTTTGACTTTCCTCTAATGTTGATAGAATTTTTTCTATGGTTCTTTGGAGTTGTGATACTGTTGAGGATAGCGCATATACCGCATATTTAATTGCGGTGTGCTGTAATTTATATCTTTTTCATTGTTGATGTTATTGGAAATTCTTTCTTCAGATCCTATGGTAATGTGTTTCCATTGACATAAAAATTTAACTACAACCATGGAAAACCTTCCAGTAAAAATGACAAAAAAGTTTAGATATGAATGCTACAAGCCGAATTTGAACTTTTGGTACTATGCAGGCATACATTTTATGAGAGGTAGAATTTGGTTATTTATAGAGCGCTATTAAAATGTTCTGCCATAAACATTTATAAATCTTTCTATTGTCATACTTGCTGGTTTACTTTTTTTGCTAAATTTCAGTTACACTCTATAGTGATTACTTTCTATAGCCCTGATTCTGTGCACCTTTCATATCACAAAGAGTTAGGCCCTTGTGCAGAACTTTCAGTGAGCAAGAGTCCACTCACTGGTGGAGCAATGACTACTTCAGAACCTATATTGGGTAGCACAGGGCTGCTTATGCAGCCGTCACCATTTTAGCATTCAGGAAAAAAAGGATTTTGGGAAGGACACTGGATATGTTAGGAGTCAAGGCCACCACTCTCTACATGCTGTTTAACCAGAATAGCTACACAGTAGTCACTCTGATTTACTTCTGATGACAGCAGTACTTACTATTGTAGGTAATGCAGGCTTGTCACCAAGCAGTGTTGCTTAAAACTACAAGACTACTAAGTGCCAATGCAGAATAGGACAGGACAGGAACCAGAGTGGCGTTTGGAGACTTACTAATGTAAATAGAATTTTTCCATCCCCTAAATGTGAAAAAAAATATATAATGAGGTCCTGTGCTCTGAGGTTTACCCTGTACTGTTAGGGTTGCCAACTTTCTAATCTCACAAAACCAAACTCCCCTGCCCTGCCTCTGCCCCTTCTCCGAGGCCCCGCCCCCCACTCACTCCATCCCCCTCTCTGTCGCTCGCTCTCACTTTCACTGGACTGGGGCAGGGGGTTGGGGTGCAGGAGGGGGTGAGGGCTCTGGCTGGGGGTGCAGGCTCTGGAGTGGGGCCAGAGATGAGAGGTTTAAGTTGCAGGAGGAGGCCTCAGGGCTGGGGCAAGGGTTGGGGTGCAGGAAGGGGTATGGGCTCTGGTGGGGCCAGGGATGAGGGGTTAGGGGGTCAGGAGGGGGCTCAGGGCTGGGGAAGGGGGTTCGGGTGCGGGAGGAGGTGCGGGGTTGGGATGCGGGAGGGGGCTCAGGGCTGGGGTAGGGGGTTGGGATGTGAGGTGCAGGCTCTGGGAGGGAGCTGGGGCAGGGGGTTGAGGTGCGGGCTCTGGGAGGGAGTTAGGGTGCAGGAGGGAGTTCCGACCTGCGGCAGAGGGTTTGGGTGCAGGAGGGGGTATGGGCTCCATCCGGGCAGCACTTACCTGAGGCAGCTCATGGTCAGTGGCACAGCTGGGCTAAGGCAGGCTCCCTGCCTGCTCTGGCTCCACACTGCAGCCAGAAGCGGCTGGCATGTTTGGCCCTCAGGCGGAGGCACGGCCAGGCAGCTCTGTGCTGTTCCCAGCCAATGGGAGCTGCGGGGACAGCGCGTGGAGCTTGCCCCTACCCCTAGGGGCCACAGGGACATGCTGGTCAATTTGGGGAGCTGCACGGAGCAAGGACAGGCAAGGAGCCTGCTTTAGCCCCGCTACGCTGCTGACTGGACTTCTAACAGTGATGCTGACCAGAGCTGCCAGGATCCATTTTCGCCTAGGCGTTCTGGTCGAAAGCCGGACTCCTGGCAACCCTACGTACCATGAACCTAAGAGAAATAATTTTCCATAAAGATACACAATACCTAGAGCCTTAAGTAGTCCAAGATTTATTGTGAGAGTTCATTGAAAAGGGTTGTAGCCCTATTGGACAATGCATGTGATTACATTTACTAAAGTCCCAGTGCATAACACTGAGTGTCTATGGTTCAAGGGATTACTTGTGTAAGAGATCTGTGTATAGTGAATATTCAGAATAACCTTTTCTGACCTAAATCCAGTACTAGTGTGTGTGAACTACTGACTGTCCTTTTTACCCACGCTTTTCTTTTACTGGTGTCTTGTGCCTAAGGGTATGTCTTCACTACCCGCCGATCCGGCGGGTAGCAATCGGTCTATCGGGGATCGACTTACCGCGTCTAGTGAAGACGCGGTAAAATCGATCCCTGATCGCTCTGCCGTCGACTCCGGAAATCCACCTCGGCAAGAGGCGGCAGCGGAGTCGGCGGCAGCGCGGCAGCGGTCGGCTTTCCCCCGTCCTCACCGC